ACTTGTCACCCGGCACCTGCGTTTGTTCAGTGTGTTTGGTTACCTTCTGAGCAGAAACACACCTTCCTGGTGTTCGTGCCTGGTGGCCGCCTGGGCGCCCCATGGGCGGGGGCGGCAGGTCGGGGACTCCCAGAGCTAGGGGCGCTTTGCCAGGCTCAGGTGACGTAGCAGCTCCCGCAAAGGGGTCAGTGTGTGTCGGCTCACGGGCGCAGGGGAGCGCTTGGGGGGCCAGGCCAGGGCGGGGGGCCGGGCACTGAGCGCCAAGGGCCACCAGTTTTGTCCTTGTTCTTGTTCTAAAGCGAAGTGTTTGCGTCAGCAGGGCCCAGCCCCGGCACGGAGAAAACCGCATGGCCGGTGGGCGCACTGAGCGTGGGGTACGTGCATGCGGCGCCCACCCAGCCCCCCCCCTGCTCCCCTGCACGACCAGCATTCTTGTGTGTGTCTGAGGACCTGGGAACGTGAGGACCACACCTGTGGGTCCACCCCAGGGGTGGGACGGCAGTGGAGGACTGTGTGACGTGACACTATCTGTGTAATCGGACTCAGAGCCCGCAGTGGGGCTGGAGGCGACCTGGAGGCGCTGCTCAGTGGTGGCTGGTGGGGGTTGCAGGGAGCGGAGTCTGTAGCCGTGACTCAGATCCCCCAGCTGCAGACCATCCCTCTAACCAAGTCCAGCCGCCCCACCACCTGGCGTGGGCGCCATTCGGGTGTTGCTGGAGAGGGCCTGGTGGAGTTCATGACAGCCAGGGTGTGCTGGGTGGGGAGTAAGTCCTGGCTGGCAGAGCAGGAAGGATGCCCGGAAGCGGGGCAGGACAAGGGGTCTGCGCGATCAGCTCAGCCTGGAGTCCTGGGTCAGGGGGCCTGGGGGCATCCAGGGTGTTGGCAGCTGGGTGCAGATGTCACGCCCAGAAGGCAGATCAAGCCAGCCCAGTGCTGTCAGGCTGCCCTGTGGGCCACAAAAACCCGACCAGTTCAGGGTCTCCCTGGAGAAGGCTGCAGGTCAGATGGCTCAGCCTGGGACATCCGCTAGGCTCACGGTGTCCCCAGGACCCTGGTCTTGTGTCCTCTGGCTTCTGTCCACACATGCTAGTTTTGTCTCAGAACGGCCCCTTGTGGTTTCTTAGCCATCCTTGGCCAACTCCTCGCAGGAGGACAAGACCGCTGTCTGCAGGATCTCTGCCCTACCCTGACTCCCTGCTTGCTCACGGCCTGTGGGGTGAGGGGAGGGTGATGCGGCCTTGGAAGGGGAGGACCTGGAGAGAAGGGAGAGTCGGGGTCCAGAGGGCAGGGGGCCCACTCTCCGGTCTCCTGACCTTGGGTCACCACCAGCAGAAGCAGGTTTGAGTGGATGGCTGAGTCCTGGGAGGGTCGGGCAGCAGGTGGCAGGGCGGCGGCCTGACCTAGCCCTTGGTTTGGCTCTGCCTGTCCAGGAACAGGGACTCTCTCTACATAGAGATGGAATCTTGAGGAAGGGTGACCCGAGCTTTCCTGGGAAAAGCGTATGGTCGTGGGGGTCGGTCCTGCAGGCTGGGGGCTGTTGTGGAGAGAGAGGCTGGTGTGGCGTCAAGACTCCCGGCCCGTTCTGGAGAGTCAGAGATGGTTGTCAGACCTTCGTAGCCTTCCCACCTGGAGAAAGGAAATAAATCCCATAAATTAAATTTAAAACGTGTAAAAGTGCAGGAGGAAGAAGAGGAGGCCTTGCTGAGGCTGAAATGGGACAGTTAGAGGTCAGCAGGGCCCCTGGAAGCTGTGGAGGGGCTCCTGCGTGGGAGACGCTGCAGCACGGGCCGAGCTGGGGTGTCGCTGGGGCCGCGGGCAAGGACGGACGGGGGCCCAGCCAGAGGCGGGGGGCCAGGAGGAGGGGAACTGCCTGCTGCTCAGGGAGGCAGAGGGAGGGGCCGGTGGGTTGCTGGTTTCTGTGTTGGTGGGCAGAGCGGGTGGGAAGGGCCTTCAGGCTGGAGGGGCCTGTGCGGGGCTCAGAGGGGAGTGGACGGAGGCAGCCCCTCCTCACCTAATGACAGAGTTCCTTCTGGATTTTGAGGAGGCGGCAGACTCATCCCGCCGTGCTGGGTGTGGTTCTGTGTGGTTCTGAATCTCACAGCTTTGTGGAAAAGGTAGAGGAGGAAGAGGCCCCGGAGAGAACCTTGGCTGAGGTCAGAGACCTGGCCGACCCGTGGCTGCAGGTCTCCTAGATACATCCTGGGCTGCTCCGCTCCCCGGTCCTCGAGACCCCCTGCCCCCAGCCAGCTGTGGCACCAGTGACTTGCTCCTGTTCCCTCAGACGTGTGCGCACCGCACGGGCAGGTTTGCCAGCTGGGCCCGGCCGGCTGGCCCCAGGGAGCTGCCCCGCCCCCAGTTTTCTGCTGCCCAGGAAGAAGGGGGCTCTCCTGGCCGTGGTCCACTGAGCACCATTAGGAAGGTTTCTCAGTTTCATCATTACTTCGTATTTAGTTTAAAGCCACTTAAGAAACTGCCTAGTCTTACTCGTTCACAGGGAGCGGGAACTTGCTGAAGCTTCTCAAGAAATTCCCGAATGTGTAGCCCATGTGCTTGGACTGACCCCCGACCCCTCCCTGCAGGACTGGCCCGTGTTCGTGGAGGTAAAAGACTTGCTGACGCTGGTGCCACCCTTGGTGGGCCTGAAGGGCAACCTGGAGATGACGCTGGCGTCGCGGCTCTCCACGGCGGTGAGTGGCTAGCCCGGGGGTGGCGGGGTCGTGGGGCCGTGCTCCGTCGGGAGGCTCTGCCGGGCCCCCCCCCGGCTGGCATCCTGTTGCTCTGCGTCCTGGGCACCCCAGTCTGTGCTGCACCCCAGCACCAGGGACTGAGCCCCGCTCCACATGTGAGCCAGACGCGGTGCTGAGAACACAGGCTTGGTGGAGGATCCCAGAGGAAGGAGATGTTCCATGGTGTCAGCAGCCCCATGGGGGCGTCTGTCCCCCTGGTTCCTTGAATCCCTGTTGCCGGCGGGGTCTTACTCTGGGCCCCCTGGCTGCCAGGTTCCCGCCGTCAGGGGCTGTAAACCCTCCCCTTTGTCACGCCAAGAGGTGTCTCCCGTCTCTGCGAGAACACTGGCGGTGCTGTGTGCACGGCACCGGGAGGAGGCCATGCAGGCGTGTGCTGAGGGCCCGGCGGGGGCTCCGAGGAGCTGAGCTGGAGCGAGGTGAGGGATGGTCGGCCGAACAGCAGCCCCCAAAGATGTCCATGTTCTAACCCATGAAGACTGTGAATGCTCCCTTGCGGGGAGAAGGTCTGCGCGTGAGATTCATCAGGGACCTTGACACAGGAGACTGGGTTATCCAGCTGGGCCGTGTCGTCAGAAGGGTCCACGGAGAGAGAGGCAGGGGGACGTCCAGGCAGAGGATGGAGCCTGTGAAGGAAGCAGGTCCCGGGAGAGAGGGTGCCGCTGGCTTTGAAGGTGGAAGAAGGGCTGTGGGTCCAGAGATGACTCTCGACCTGCCGGGAACAGTGAAGAACGGAGGCTGCCCAGAGCCCGGGAGGCACCAGGGGGCCCACTGTGGGCTCCCGGCCTCCAGAGACGACACGCGGGTGCAGTTTCACACCCTGGGGTCTGTGATCGTGGGCTGTAGCAGTGGGAGGGGCGGGCCGGCGGGGCCAGGGCCTGCAGAGCCTCCTGGCCATCGGGAGGTTTTCAGCATGACGCACATGCTCGCACGCACACACACGAGTGTGGTTAAGTTGGTGAGTGAGGGGAAAGATGTTTCTGGTAAGCTCTGCCACGGCGGCATTACGTTACGTTTTTATTCATAATGCTCAGCTGCATGTTAAACACGTCTGTGCAACTGTTGTGTCTCAACGTTGTAATTCTTTTAAAATGTGCGAAATGTGGAGGGAAAGGCAATGGCTACTAGGGTAGCCACCAGCTCCTCTCATCACGACAGAGCCTTTAAAGGCGTCCAACACCCGGCGCTGCAGCGACGCGTAAATCAGCGCAGCAGAAACTCACGGGTTTCACATGCACAGCTCGGGCTTTCGGCAGGCATCTCCACCCGCAGCCACCACTCCCGCTGAGACAAGGACAGCTGTCCCCCGCGGCTCCGCCCAGCAAGCCCTGGGACCCCAGCCTTCCACGCCCATTTGTGGTTTAGAAATACTCGGTGCAGCTTGAACCAGAAGATTACTTGTGCTGTCCTGGCTACCTCAGCTGGTGTCAGACGCCAAGAAAAGGAAGCAGAGCCTTAGGTAAGAAAGGAGGAGAGAAGCTGACGTCCTACTGTTACGCTTGTCTTCTTGAAGAGCTGCAAACAGATCAACAGAAAACCTGTAACACGAATAATCTCAGTAAAGTGACCCGGTTCCGCAGGCTCCGGATGAAGTTTGAAACAGACATCGACATACACAGACGTATCCGCGTGCCTCCAGCACACTAAGAGCGGCCCTTACGAACTACGGCTGGAAAGTCGAACTGAAGAAGTCGAAGAGCAGTATCTTTCCAACTACTAGCCGATTTTAAGACCTCTTCAGGCCGGGAGAGCGCAGAGGTAGAGCGTGTGCTTAGCGTGCACAAGGTCCTGGGTTCAATCCCCAGTACCTCCATTAGAAAAGAAAAAACAAGATTCAAAACCTCTTCAGAGAGAAGCCTCAGAAAGATCTAGGCAGGGCCTACACAAATAAAATGACGAACTCTACCAAGCGAAACAGAAATTGGGAGAGAGTCACAGAGCTCCTGGGGGGGAGAGTCAGTGTGGTCCGTTCTCCTTGTTCTGGTTTATAAAAGTAATGCAGTTAGTATCAGCATGCCAAAGAGATGCGGGGGAGCATTCGACAATATGATTGTAACGTTTATCTTGGTCATTTGGATAACCAAGAAAATAGTGGTAGGAAAGAGGGAAAGAGGACTAATGGTGAGATTTGATTTCCAGATTTTGGAATGTAATACAAACTATGTCATTAAAATCTTTTGTAACCAGTCTTCTCTGATACATCATGGAACAAAACAGAGCATCCAGAAATCAGCTCAGATTTGTACAGATAGAATCTGCTGTGTGATAACGCTGGCGCTTGAATCAGTGCAAAGAGGATGAATTATTAATTAATGATGCTAAGATACTTGGCTAATTCTTTGGAAGTAATTTTTATTTTACGTCATACATAAATACATACTTTGAATAGATCGAAGAATTTAAAATAAAGCATGGTACCAGAAAATGCACCTGTGTTTTTAGAATCTGGCAACAAGAAACGCTTTTTAAGTACCAGATCTACAAAGGGAAGGCGGTGGCAGTGTCTCAGCTCACGTGGAGGCTGTGTGATAACTTGTTGTCTTTGACACACCCAGCCGCCTGAGGCCTGAGGGACGTGCTGTGTCAGTTCTGGGCCGTGTCGGTGATCAGGGTGTGGCCGGGCTGGCTTCTGCCGTATCTGCTCCAGGCCCCCCAGCCGCAGGGGGTTTGCTGGCGTCTCTGGGGTCTGTGGCTTGTAGACGAGTCACCCAGCCTCTGACTTGACCTGCACGTGGGGCTCACCCTGCACGACACGCATCCGAGCTCCCTGTCTGAGAGAGCAGGGTCCTGCTGGCTTTGGCCCCGCCTGGTGCAGGCGGCCCCGCCCCCGCTCAGGACATCTGCGATCACCCGTTCTCCAAGTACAGTCACTTCCTGGGGAGCTGGGGGTAGGGCTTCACACTGTGGGGAACACAGTGCTGCCGGAACAGTCTCCTCGCACAGACTCGAAGGGGGATCGCCCACCAAGGGAAGCGACGATGCGTGAAACTAACAGCATCTGCAGCCTCCAGGATCGAAGCAGCTCTTTCACGCGCGTGTGAAGACAAGCCTTTCCGCGTGAACAGAGGCAGTAACCCAGCGCAGAAAACCCCCTCCGTCACACGAGCCATCAGTGGCTTTCATTTTCCGTGCACTTTTACCGCGTGTCTGAACTGAAGGGCGGACGCCCGTGAACCTGCGTGTCCACTGCTGGAAAGGGGTGGGCGCGGGACTTCTCAGCGCTCCTGGTGCCATCTGTCAGGGCCGTATGCAAAACCCTGAAGATGTGTACA